AGGAAGAGTGTGGTGGAAAGAAAACTATATGTATATTAACACATATCCCTCCCCCTCCAATTTAATTTTAGCCAACGTTTAAGTTGCTTGTGCATTAGAATTTCTCATAGTAGATTGTAAGTGGCAACAATGATCACTTCTGTTTTCTCTTCCTTCCCTTTCTTCCCCTCCTGGCCCCTGAGGGAGATTAATATGTAGGGAAATGACAGAGAGCAGGTGGCAGAAGGGGAAAGAAGAAACAAAGGACCTGGCTGACCCACAGACTGTGCAGTCACCTCTGAGTGGTTGAGAAAGGATCTAGGTTTCAATCTAATGGTAACAAGCTTCTCTAGATAGCTAATCATAACAGTGGTTTACATTTGTTGAGCTCTTATTGTGAGCTGAATATTGTGGCTACCACTTGAGATAGCACTTCATAGTTCATGTTCATAGCATCCCTATGAGATAAGTATTATCATAGGCCCCATTTTCACAGTGAGAAAACTGAAGCTCGGTGAGCTCGAGTTAACTTGTAGACAGCCACAGGGCCAGCACTCGTACCTACTTAGACCTCCATGCTGTCTTTTCTGTCTGCATTTGTGTATTTAAAGAAAACACTTGCCCTTCAGTTGGCTCCAACTCATGGCAACCCCACATGTGTTAGAGTAGAGCCTTGCTCTTTAGGATTTTCAATGGCTGACTTTCACAAATAGATCACCAGACCATTTTTCTGAGTTACCTCTAGGCGGACTTGAACCTTCAGCTTTTGATTAGCTGGTGAGCATGTTAATCGATTGCACAACTCAGGGATCCCACATTTGTGTTTATATATACCTGCTTTCATTGAGTTGATTCTAACTCAGAGTGACCCTATAGAAAAGAGAACTGTCCCACTCATAGGGTTGCCAAGACTATAAACCTTTACAAAGACATATGGAGACAATTAGTCCAAGGGACTGGTAGACCAGGTGATCCTCAGCCTATATGACCATAATACCAGAAGAACTAGATGGTGCCTGGCTACCACTGTCAACCACTTGGGTGGGAGGATTGGTGTAAGAGGTACTGGATAGAATGGGAGAGGAATGTAGAACAAAACAAAATCATAAAGAAAAAGACCAGGTTTGCTAGTCTGATAGAGCCTGGTGAGACCCCTGAGACTATGACCCCTAGGTACCCTACTGGTCTAGAACTGAACTCCTGTGGCTTCCAGTCAAACAGTAGGCAGGCATGTGGGATGAATATTTACATCATGTAGATACACTCCTTGGAGCAATCAGTCATGGAATAACAGAAGGGCAGTGTTCTTTTTACAGGGTGACAGCAGGGGGCAGGAATGCATGGGAGGGAAGGATACAGGGAAGAGGTAACTGTGGGGAGGATGTGGGAAGAGAGCTGTTACATTGTGGGAAATTGCAGTCAATGTTATGAAACAAATTGTATATGAACTGCTGTATGGAAAATGAATTTGCTCTGTAGACTTTCACCCAAATCGCAATGAAAATTAAAAAAAGAAAATATAAAGATGATAATTATTGTAATTTGTAAAAGTACTTGAAATCTTGGATTCAAACCTTTAACATTCAGGAGGTGAAGAGTGGAAGAGTAGTTTTCAGAAAGTTCTAAATGGGCCATTAAGTGGTGAGAATTTGTGGATAAGAGAACACTTTGTACAGAGATCCAGGGCACATCACAGCCAGTGACTTTTGCAGTTGACCAATGAGGAAACCGACCCTCCTGAAGTTAAGAAACATAGGCTTCTGACTCATAGAAAAGCAGTCTCTAAAATGCCAGTGGAGAGTGACCTCTTTTTGCATGTTACCCTTTTCAGCTCTTGCTGTGTGCTAGCGATTGTGCTTTTCTCATCCGCCCTTCACACTTGGAGAAACTGAGGCTCAGAGATGTTCAGTAACTTGCCCAAGGTCACACAGCCGTTGAGTAGAGGAGTTGAGATTTTCCTGTATATGCATGGACTCATAACCTGTAGCACTTCATTAAATGGACTGTTTTTAGGAGGCAATTTTCATCATCAGACAAATTCAACATTGAAAATTTTCCTTCAAGTGAATTTGAGCCTGTTGGGGTCTGGAGAGATTGAATTGTTTACTTTTACCTGCCTACTCAATCCAGTCTCAAAAAGAACCCCTTACATGCCTTCTTAAGACAAATGATTATGCTGGATGAACACTAAAAACTGTTTTGATCTTACAAAATTTACTATCTGTGTACCTTTGGGGAGCAAAACCAAATTGCGGGCTGGTAAAATTTAGTGCTTATTTACAAATTTTATTTCCTTTAGTTCCCCAGATTTTTACATACAGAGAGGGCACCATGGTCAGATTTTAAGGCCCATTGGCAGTAGAAAATAAGCAACATGAACCAGGGACCCCCCAGTAACAGCCACCCTGGGTACAGTCAGTTGGCATGAAAAATTGAATGGTTGGAGGTTTTTGAGGAAGAATATTTACTCTCTGATTTGAAAAACAAAACCATAAACTAAAAACTCATTTAAATAGAACATTATAGCACCTTGAAAAATCTTAGTTTTTTAGTAAGTGGCTGTTACCAATGTATTTTCTATGCCATTAGGCATCAGTGTTTCCTGAACACCTATTAGGAGACCAGGCCTGGACTACTTGTTCACTGATGCCACTTAGTCTACTCTCTTACATGCTTTTTATTGATATGTGTTTTATTTATATTCTCTACCACCATATTCTTTTTTATTGTGATTTGGGTGAAAGTATACAGAGCAAATTCATTTTCCATACAACAGTTTATGCACATTTTGTTTCATGACATTGATTGCAATCCCCACAACGTAACACCTCTCTTCCCACTTCCTCCCTGTGGTTACCTTTTCCCTGTGTCCTTTCCTATGCAGTCCTGCCCTCGGAGTTATCTCCTTGTGCAAGTGCTGCCTTTCTGATCTCCCACAATTGATTGTTAGAAGGCATATACCCACCTGGTGTAAATGTTCACCTTATATGGCTAGCTGTTACTTGGCTGGAAGCCAAGGGAATGAGTTCAATTCCAGGCATGCAGGGTGACTAAGAGCCATAGTTTCATGGGTTTCACCAGACTCTATCAGACCTGTAAGCCTGGTCTTTTTTATGATTTTGAGTTTTGTTCCACATTGTTCTCCCACTCTTTCCAGGACTGCACTGATCCCTTTCTGAGTGGTTGACATTTGTAGCCAGGCACTATCTAATTCTTCTGGTCTCAAGGTCATGTAGGCTGAGGTCCACTAGTCCCTTGGACTAATTGGCATACTGCCTAAGGCATTTGACTGCTCACGAGAAGTTTGGTGGTTCCAACCCACCAGCCACTCCTCTGAGGGAAGATTGGGCAAACTACTTCCGTAGAGATACTGCCTCGGAAACCCAGGGAGGGGTTGCTGTGAGTCGAATCGACTCGATGGCAGTGAGTGAGTTTGGTTTTCTTCATTCTTCTTTGCTCTGGACGAAGTGAGACCCAGATGTTGCATCTAGATGGTCACTTGCAAGCTTTTAAGACCCTAAGTGCTACCCCCAAATAGGATGTAGAACAATGTTTTTGTGTAGTATGTTGTGCCAAGTGAGCTTGTTGTCCCCTGTGACCATGGTCCCAAGACCACAGGTCCAACAACTTGCTCCCTCAGGGTAGTTGGTTGTCGCTAAGTTATCATAACTTTGCCCCCTGTTCTACTTATATGGACATTGTTACAGCATATACAAATACATATGTAGAAATATTGTCTGCCAAACTTACATGTATCTACAACCATATTCTTAGGATATAGTTTTTATCCATTATATTTTTTGAAGAAAACACTGTGCTGCTGAATTCATCTCTTTATTAAAACACTAGCCTTTTTATTTCAAACACTGGAAAGCTGAGAGGTTATAATGATAGCATCTTAGCTCTGTGTCACACTTTCTGATAAACAATTTAATCATCTCAGCTTCCCTGTAGTGGGCATTATCTTTATTTTAGAGATGAGGAAGTTAAGTTGTGTGCCAGGGTCAGACAGCTGGTTATCAGCAGAGCTGGGACCAGAACTGGGCCCTTCAGGTGTGTGCTGGTGTTTACCTGTTTCATCCTCTTGCTGTTCATGCTGCAGCAAACAGGAGACAGTTTCCTGTCTCATAGCAAAGTGACAAAACAGCCCCAGATTTTTAATCCTTCCTGGACTTCAAAGAATTAGTTAAGCCCATGAAACATTGAAACAAATTAATTTTGTTTTATTTTTTAATTAAAAAGTAAATCTCTAAAGCAGATAAGCATGCTTTATTCTTAATTATGAATATGTGGCTTGAATCCACTATCTCTTTTCATAATTATTTGATATTATGGTAGATGAGCACTTGTTGCAATACATAGTTCTTAACAGGTATAAATACCCGAAGATTGCTGGAGCAAAGTATTTTTAATTGGTTTAGTTCTTACTTCCCCCTACCTTATAAGATGTCCTTGTGTTGGAAGAGGGAGGGCTGGTGATCTACTCAGTGCATCCATGGTGAAGTGGTCTGCAAGATCACCCTTTAGAACCACTCCTTGCACATATCTTTAGTTACTTGACTGTGTACACAGCACCGGTGTGTACCTAAACTGGAGCCTTCCCACTTGGTCGGAAGAAGGAGAAACATACTCTGAGTTGAGAGAGACCAGTGGTGGGTTCTTTTCTCCATTACCATTTGCTCCTGCCCCTGAAAGAAGTGTTGAGTTTTAAGTATTCAGAGTGTCTTTGGCTCTCAGCAGAAGGCTGAACAATGTTAGAACTTGTTATATCGAACTGCTTGTTTTCAGTTGCTAAAGTTTGAAGAATGATCTTTTTTTGAAGGATCTTGGGGGCCGGAATGGACTTTGAGAAACCATCCAGTGATCCTTTTGTGCTCAGGCAGAATGGCACCTGCCTTGGAAAGCTACTTTTCTTCCACTATTCAGCATATTCCATACTATGTTTTAGCAATTTATGCCATCATCTTACTTCATAATGATCAAAAAAACTGACTTTGTGGGCCCTTGTGTCTCTTTTTCAGGTCCAACTTCAAACTTGTGGCTGTTAATTCAAAACTTTATGCCATTGGTGGGCAGTCTGTTTCTAACGTTGAATGTTACAATCCAGAGCAGGATGCATGGAATTTTGTGGCACCCTTACCGAATCCTCTGGCTGAGTTTTCTGCGTGTGAATGTAAGGGGAAAATTTATGTGATTGGAGGATATACTACCAGAGGTAAGTGGAGGGGCTAAGTAAGTGTTATACTGACTCAGGGTGTCCTTTGGCAACCTGGGAAGGGCAAGAGCCAGGGGAAGTGTTCCAGTGCACCGAGTGTGATTGCATACATATATGATGTATTTATACATCTGGAAGGGAGAGAGTCCTGTGGGACAGGGGTGATTTCGACAGCAGGGGCTTTAATGGCCTGATGCAAGCATGAGAATTGAAGGGGGAGGAGAGACTGTGAAGAAAATATGTATGTTCTCTTTGCTTCTGGAAACCCAGCTTTGTGGTTAGCCGTCTTGTGACTTGGCTGGGCCTGATTTGTGGAGGCTGTCCAGGTCTCTCAGCTGCTCTGAGGTTGGGTAGATCTATGGAAGGGAGCAGTATCTGGGTGACTCCCACCTCTTTTCAAAAACACCTCCCACTCTATGGAATTTAGTGCCAGAGGCTCCTTGTATTTTTGTTTTCTCCTTTCTCCAGCACAGACATGGGAGATGCAGGTTCAGCAGATACTCCTGTTCCTGGAACATGGGATGAACAAGAATACAAATACACAAGGAACCTCTTTCCTCAGCAGGGGTAGGGGGTGGTTGTGTTATATCGTAAGTTGTACATACGTGTTTTTCACTTTTTTGTAGGTATTTTATAATTTACAGTTTGGAAAATAAAACGTTTCTTCAGTAGGGCTTATACTGCTGTAGGGAAGCATTTGACGTGGTGATGATAGAAACAGCATGGCTGTGCTAAGAAAGGCACTGGCGGGCAGCCAGGAAGAGGCGTACTGTTCCTTTTCTCTCTCTGTTCCACTTAAAGCAGTTGTCTCCAAGTTATCCTTTAACATATAGAAACTGTACTTTTAGGACTTTTAGCCACATTAAAGTTGTGGATTCTGTCTCAGTGACTCTTCTTATAAGACATAGTAGAACTGTCCCTATAGAGTTTCCAAGGCTGTAAATCTTTATGGAAGCAGACTGCTTCATCTTTCTCCTGCTAGAGCAGCTAGTGGCTATGAACCATGGACTTTCAGTTAGCAGCCAAGTGCCTTACCCACTGTACCACCAGAGCTCTTTAATAGAGTTAAATCCCTTATATCTGACATAATGAAATACCTAACATTCCTTTATGTGGTTGAGGTATGATATGGGCAGGACAGAGCCCTCCAACCCTGGCCGATGACAGATGTGGAAAAATGATCCTTATGACCCTATTGGGCAGCATGTGACCATATGTAACTACATAAAGGACACAAATCCACATATTAAGATAATGTTCAAATACTGCTAGGTACTCATTGCCATCAAGTCGGATCTGACTCATAGCGACCCCTCCTTGGGTTTCTGAGGCGGTATCACTACGGAAGTAGATTGCCCAACCTTCCTTCCAAGGAGTGGCTGGTAGGTTTGAACCCACATGCAGTCATGTGCCTTAGGTACTATACTACCAGAGCCCCTAATGTTCAAATAGGTGATGAAAATTATTTTCACCATGTCCAAATGTGTCTTGTTAATGGGGATTTATATTAGATGAAAAAGTAAAATGTACGGTGTTGTATGGACATCTCTCTCTTTTTTTTTTAATGATAGCAAAATATTTTGATGAACCCTTCTTTGAATACCTCTAAACACTTGATTTGGTGGGTAAGATAGCAAGTGATGAATTAGTTTTCCAGGGCTACTATAACAAATTACCATAAACTTCATTGTTTTAAACAACAAAAATTTATTCTGTCATGGTTTTGGAGATGAGAAGTCTGAAAGAAGGGGTTGGCAGGCCACAGTCCCTCCAAAGGCTCTGGGGGCAAATCCTTCATTTGCACTTTCAGCTTCTGGTGGTTGCAGTTTTCCTTGGCTGCTAGATGCCTAAGTCTAGTTACTGCTTCATGTGTATTCCTTTTTCATGTGTTTTCTCCTTTTTAGTCTTTTATAAGAACACTTGCCATTGGATTTAGGACTCATCTGGGCAATCCTGGATGGTCTCATCCCAAGATCCTTAACTTAGTTACATCTGCAAAGACCTTCTTTGCACATTAGGTCACATTCATAGTTTCTGGAGGTTAAGAGGTGTGGACATATCTTTTGGAGGGCCACTGTTCAACCCACTGCAAGTGGTGTGTGTATTTATACATTCAGGGGGAGTCCACGACAAAGAGGAGTGCAGTGGAAGCAGAGAGCTGTTTTTCTCACTTTAGATTTTCACCACTTACTGAGTTAGTCCCAGTGTTCCTCCCTAGGGATTCTCCACTGAAGATAAGGTAATGGCAGCTTTTTCTGTACAAATAAGTGGGGGGGGGGTGACCCAGGGGTCATTTTTATGTTTTATTTTGGGTGTTCAGGTTACAGTGATTTAAGTTTATATGCTTCAACTACATCATCCAACTGTCAAGTTGACTCTGACTCTTGACAATGCTGTGTGTGTCAGGGGAGAGTTAGGTTCCACAGGTTTGCAATGGCTGGTTTTTTGGAAGTAAATTGCCAGGCTTTTCTTCCGAGGCACCTGTGGATGGATTCAGACCTTTGGGCTAGCAGCCAAGCAAGGTAACAGTAGGCACCACCTAGGGACTCCAGCTAAGCAACTAAACCATGGCACCAGAGTATTTCTTGTGTGCCTAAGTACATGTGTGTGTTTGTGTGTTTTCTCCTGGGAAAGTAAATATTCACATTTATTTACCTATGTACGTTTCTAAGAATTCTGGTTACTCTTAGATTGAGCAACACAAAATGCATCCTGTGGACTGAAATAATGTACTCATGGTCTCTTGCCTTTATTTCTGCCCAGGAGTTGTTAAACACTGACAGAGGGCACTGTACCCCAAAGAGGACTCTGCTGGGAGATTTCCTAATTTTTCCATGACCTTGGCTGAGCAAATGTCCTTTAGATTTGACCTGGAAAACCCTTGCTTGTGTGTTTTCTAGCTTCACAAGCTGGTACTAATGTACCTTCTTCACTTGGGCCACCCACTGTGATTTCTGTCCTGGATTCCCTAAGCCAAAATACTCAAGATGGGATGGTTAGGTGATGTGGATGGATCGATGTTTGTGTAGAGGTGGAAAAAGTTTTCTAAGATGAGAGGGCAGGGCCGTTCATCCTAAGCCCTCCCCCTCCTCTGCTTGAGGCTCGTCCCAGCGATTCCTAATAGTTCGCTGTAAAAGAACTCATCGTAATTGTCATGAAAACAAAATCAAGATTTCAAGTTTGATTCTTAGCCTGCTGCCTAAGACTTTTCAAAATTTAGCAAAGAGTGATTCATAGTTTTCATGATAGTTATTTGATTATTCTAATTATTTGGCAGGCACTGAAGAAATAAAGAAATTCAGTAGAAAGTAATAGTAACCACTAAAGGGAAGAAGGGTTGATTTGTCAAACTTCAGAATCAACTCTAAATGTAAAAATGAAAAAATCATTCAACCAACTCAAACCACCTCATCATGGTCTGAACCCTAGTTGGGTGAGGAGAGAAAACATTTACAGAAGACCTGGAAAGACCTTCAGGCCTGGAACTGAAAAATACATTGAAGCTTTACTAGAATAAGTTCTTTGTTCATACAGTGGGAAACCAGGTCACTAAGGAGCACTTTTTGACAGATTAGTAACCAAACCCCTTGAACTATCTACTGGGAAGAGCTTTATCACAATAGCCAGGTAAGAAAGAAACATAGGGAGGTATTAGTGTGGGTGTAAATTAGGACAGTTTAGTGTTGGTGTATAAGGACAGTTTCTTAAAGCTGTAATAATTCTAAAATTTCTGCAGGCTTAGGGACATATTGCACACAGAGCACTTGCTTTCTCTTCACTTTTCTCTTGGCCTTCTTCATAATGTTAGCTGCTGTCAAGTCCTCAAACGCACACACACACATATACACACACACACACACACAAAACAGTGCTGCCTATTCCTGCACTATTCCCATGATAAGTTGGGGATCGGGCTATTGTGATCCCTAGAGTTTTGATTGGCTGATTTTTCAGAAGTAGATTGCCAGGCCGTTCTTACTAGTCTGTTTTCATCTGGAAGCTCTGCTAAAACCTGTTCAGCATCACAGCACCACACAGGCCTCCGCTGACAGGGTGGTAGATGCACCTGGGGTACATTGGCTGAGAATTGAACACAGGTCTCCGACCATTAAACTACCTCTGCCCTACTCTGCCCTCTTAGGGTATACTTAAATTAGTACCTAAGGTGGCTAAGGATCTCTTTAAAAAAAAATTACCAAAACCAAGCTCACTGTCATCGAGTCAGACCCAACTCATAGCCACCCCTCCTTGGGTTTCTGAGGCAGTATCACTACAGAAGTAGATCGCCCAATCTTCCTTCTGAGAAGTGGCTGGTGGGTTTGAACTACCAGCCTTCTGGTTAGCAGTCAAATGCCTTTAGCGCTATGCCATCAGAGCTCCCGTGGATCTCTTCAGGTGCTGCTAACCAGTGGGTGGGGTGAGTCCTCTGTCTCAGGAGTAAAAACTTGAAGGAGGAGTAAAATCCTTGAGAAAATGAGCCATCTTCTCTTGCCTGCTTCTGTAGCAATCAAAACGCCACTCTTCACTTACTCTTTAATTCTCAAGGTGAGCCGTCTCCTCTTCTGATAAGTTTTGTTGTTTGTTTAAACAGCAACAACAAACAGAAAGTCTGTTCTTATAGCACAGCATTTTTTTTCTGCTGAGACTAAAAAGTAGATATTCTAAATTTTACCAACATTTTTCAAAGAGACTAGGCAACATTTTACCTTAAAGAAAATAGCTGTTAATTTAAAATAATGTCAGAATTCTTTCATCTATTATCTGATTTTATCTACGCAATAAAGAACCATATCTAGTGAAAAAAGGAAGAGGGGGACTGACCTTTGTAGTGACTTTGCCTTGTTACAAACAATTTGCATTTGCAGAGTGATTCTGTGACTTGATAGAAAGCCAGAGGTGAAGCTTTGTTCCATTTCACCTCACTTGAAACTTAGCATCCTTTTCTCTAGATAGTCCCTGGAGATCTGTGCTGAGCCTGGCCTTGTTTTTTAAGATCAGCTGTCAAGAATATATGCTCTTGGATGAACCTTGAAACTATTGCCCTAAGATAATCTTTAACCGGAAATAACCCCTGAAGTCTTAAAACCAAACAACAGTTTAGTTTAACTAATAAAGACTGTCTACCTTGATCACCAGTCAACTGACTGGAAGAGATCCATATTTGTGCCCATTCCAAAGAAAGGTGATCCCACAGAATGTAGAAATTATAGAACAATATCACTAATATCACATGCAAGTAAGATATTACTGAAGATAATTCAGAAACGTTTGCAGCAGTATATTGACAGAGAACTTCCAGAGGTTCAAGCCGGATTCAGAAGAGGACGTGGAACAAGGGATATCATAGCTGTTGTCAGATGGATCTTGGCTCAAGGCAAAGAATACCAGAAAGAGGTTTACTTGTGTTTTATTGACTATGCAAAGGCATTTGATTGTGTGGATCATGACAAATTATGGATAACATTGAGAAGAATGGGAATCCCTGAGCACTTGATTGTACTCATGAGGAATCTGTACCTTGACCAGGAGGCTGTCGTTCAAACAGAACAAGGGGACACTACATGGTTTAAAATCAAGAAGGGAGTGCGTCAGGGTTGTATTCTTTCTCCACACTTATTCAATCTATATGCTGAGCAAATAATCCGAGAAGCTGGACTATATGAAGAAAAACGTGGTATCAGGATTGGAGGAAGAATCATTAACAACCTGAGATATGCAGACGATACAACTTTGCTTGCTGAAAGTGAGGATGACTTAAGGCACCTACTGATGAAGGTTGAAGAATACAGTCTGCAGTATGGATTACATCTCAACATAAAGAAAACAAAAATCCTCACAACTGGACCAATGAGCAGCATCACAATCAATGGAGAGAAGATTGAGGTTGTCAAGGAATTCACATTGCTTGGTTCTACAATCGATGCCAACGGAAGCAGCAGTCAGGACATTAGACGACGTGTAGCATTGGGAAAGTCAACTGCGAAGGAACTGTTTCAAGTGCTGAGGAGCAAGGATATCTCCTTGAGGACTAAGGTGCGCCTGACACAAGCCATGATATTTCCAATCACCTTGTATGCATGTGAGAGCTGGACTATGAATAGGGAAGACCGAAGAAGAGTTGATGCTTTTGAGTTGTGGTGCTGGCGAAGAATGCTGAAAGTACCATGGACTGCTAAAAGAACTAACAGATCTGTCCTGGAGGAAGTGCAGCCAGAATGCTCCTTGGAAGCAAGAATGGCCAGACTTCGTCTCACCTATTTTGGTCATGTTGTAAGAAGGGACCATTCCCTGGAGAAGGATGTCATGCTTGGTAGGGTGGAGGGTCGACGAAAGAGGGGGAGGCCTTCAACGAGATGGATTGATACAGTGGCTGCGATGATGGGCTCGAGTATAGCAGGGATTGTGGGGCTGGTGCGGGATCGGGCAGTGTTTCGTTCTGCTGTGCATGGGGTCGCTATGAGTCGGAAACGACTCGACGGCACTTAACAACAACAACAACAACAACCTTGATCATATGCTCCTTTAAGATCTATCTATATGGGATCACATTGACAACAGCTAGTCAAAGATTAGATAGCAACCCTTGGAGGCAGTGAGTTTATGTTAATGGGGGAGAAACAACTTGGAAAAGGAGAGTTGAGAATGGTTGCCCAACTTGAAGAATGTAACCAGTGTCACTGGATTGCACGTGTAGAAACTTGAATTAGTGGATGTTTTTGCTGTGTGTATTCTTAACAACAACAGAATAAATTACTTAAAAAAAAAAAAAATACACGCTCTTGGGGCTCAGTTGGCTTTTCTCTAACATTGTCAGTAATTCTGTAGATGTTGGTGAGGATTATAAGGGTATTCTTTTTATACTGGCCTGGTGTTTCCCAAGGAATTCTGGTGGTGGAGTGCCTAAGGCATTTGACAGCTAACCATAAGGTTGGCAGTTCAAACCCACCAGCCATTCCACAGAAGGAAGATGGGGCAATCTACTTCCGTAAAGATTGACCACCTCAGAAACCCAATGGGGATCAGTATGAATCAGAATTGACTTGATGGCAGTGGGTTTGTTTTTTTTTTGGTTTTTGGTGTTTCTCAAAGGTATATGCCTTACGCAGTACAACACCAGAGCTCCCAAAGGTATAAAGGTACCAGGGAAGAAGTAATGTGTTCAAATCATAGTTGCTCGTCTCCTAGCCTTACCAGTTCTTGAGAGTCTCCCAAGGAGGGGACATGCCTCAATGAGAACCAAAAAACCAAACAATGCTGTGGAGTCAGATCTGCCTCATAGTGACCCCTCCTTGGGTTTCCGGGACAGTATCACTATGGAAGTAGATTGCCCAGTTCCTTCTGAGGAGTGACTGGTGTGTTTGAACTGTCAGCCTTCTGGTTAGCAGTCAAAGGAGGCCAGGTGAAAATGAACCTAAATGTACCTCCTGCTAGCCATTTGGAAAACTTGCAACATTTTCCTAGCGTCTGCTTTTCTGAAATGGTTTTGCCTCTCTGTTACCATATTTTATAGGTGTAGGTAGATGTTTATTATAATGAAGGCTGTAAATTATGTTACTTGTGGATATGCCTTTGTCTGTCTTCTTTATTTCAGACCGAAACATGAACGTTTTGCAGTATTGCCCGTCTTCTGACATCTGGACACTTTTTGAAACATGTGATGTCCACATTCGCAAGCAGCAGATGGTGTCTGTGGAAGAGACCATCTACATCGTGGGCGGGTGTCTGCATGAACTGGGGCCCAACCGGAGGAGCAGCCAGAGTGAGGACATGCTCACCGTGCAGTCCTACAACACCATCACCCGGCAGTGGCTCTACCTCAAGGAGAACACATCCAAATCAGGGCTTAACTTGACTTGCGCACTCCATAACGATGGCATCTACATCATGAGCAGGGATGTTACCTTATCAACCAGCCTGGAACATCGTGTTTTCCTTAAGTACAACATCTTTTCAGATAGTTGGGAAGCATTTAGGCGTTTCCCAGCCTTTGGACATAACTTACTGGTTTCTTCTCTTTATCTGCCCAATAAAACAGAAACATGACTGAACTCATTTAGTAAGTAAAAGAAACCTGGTTCAAGGTTAACCAAAAAAGAAAACACAGTGTCCCATTTCAATGGACACTGATTTCTAAAGGAGAAAGTATGGTAAATTAGGTCATGTACACAGCAGCTGTATATAAGCTTACTTGAACTAATTACTTGAAAACTTATGAAAGAGACCAACTTTATTATTTTTTTTAATTATTATTTTTTAAATTATGGGAACAAATCCATAATGATGTTTTCATCCAAATATGATAGTCTTGGGCCAGTGATGGAAACCGATGATCCAAAAGTAGCTTCATTGTGTCTACTTGTAAAGGGCCAGAGTTAATAATTGGCATAAATGGTAAAGATTACTTTAAAATCTGTTTTATTTAGGTCATTTGAAATAACATTAATACCTTACGTGAGTTTTGTTTTCTGTCAATTCACTTGACAAACATTTACATGACATTGTCATTCCCCCTCCCCCTACTGGTTACAACTCCACATACTCCTAGTTGGTTTAAAATAAGGTTCTGTCTTCAGATGCTTTTGTTTGCTCACTACTTTTCATAAAACTTGCAATGATGGACCACTACAGTATATCCTTGCAAGCATCCAGTACGCCCCAAAACTTACTTACAAACATTCTTGGCTATTTTGTCTAGTCTTCTTTTACAATTATGATCACTAGGTAAATAAGCTGATAGAACCTTTCATTTCAGTTATGTAGCAGATTGCTGCCTGTCAAATAAGTTTTATTGCTAGACATAATGTATTTTTAAAAGAAGACATACTATTTAAAAGGATACATAAAAATTTGAGCTGTAGTCTTATATTTAAATAGGAAGGGAATACCAAATGAGAAAAATTTGCCTTTCAGAATTATGTTTACTGAATGTATTTGACTTAGTTTTTAAGACTGAAAAAATAACTTTATCATATCTCTATCAGGCAGTTTTCTGATTTAATCTTAGCTTTTCAATTCTGCTTTGCTTTTGTGGGGTAAGGTGAGGAGAGCTGTAAAACATTTGTGCTGGAGAGAAGGGAAGAAGCTCTTATGGAAGAGAATGGCCTCAGGTGGTATTTCTGAAATTAGGTATTACATTTTTGCCTTCTTGGCTAAACCAAATAGAACCCAACTCAAGCAGTCATTTGCTTGTTTTCAATAGGCCAGGTAACAGTGAATAAAAGCTTCTTCCAATCATAGATCAGCATTCTTTAAAAAATATACATACATATTTATTGAAATTTTATTTTGATTGAGAAACACTTCCTGAAATTCTCTGAGCTTTTGTAAGGGAATTGGTTAATCAAACTGAACTGGATTCCATCTATCCAGTCTCAATAGCAGACTGAACCATTCCAGTTAAAGTGTGCCTCGCTTTAAGACAGCCCCCATAGAAAAGCAAAAACTGTCATGGCAGAGTCGTGCATTTAGCAAAACACCGAGTGCCTCCAGTGTGCCATTTAGTGTGCACATGTAGTTCAGGGGAATTGGTGGAATTCTTCAGTTTATCAAAGTAGTCGGTGCAGGGTTTCTTTACAACCTTGGCCTCCTAATATGCTTTTGAAGTGTGTGTTGTCAAGTCGATTCTTAATTCCCAGTGACACTGTAGGACAGTAGAATTGCCCCATTAGGGTTTCCAAGGCTGTGACCTTAATGGAAGCAGATTGTCACATCTTTCTCCCTTGGAGCAGCTGGTGGGTTTAAATTGCTAACTTGTCAGTAGTTGAGCACTTAACCACTATGCCACCAGTGATTCTTCTCACTTAAAATGAGGGTCTAGGTAAATCTGTATTTGCACAACTTTTCAGGAACACTTCTAGTAGTTAAAGTGAGGTAAGCCTTTATTTTGGGCATGGATTTTACAACACTATTCAAGGGTTTCTAAGCCATATCCATTTATTCTCAAATACTTAGACTTTTTTTTTTTTTTTTTTAAACTCTGAACTGAAATTTCCCAGGAATGCTACTTTGATAATAGATTTATATTAATTTATATTGTAGAATTGAATTTGCATTATATCAGTTCCATTAGATATATTTAAAAATCTAATTTATTTTATACAGCATTACCTTTTGTTGCTATAGAGCTTAACTTTTTTTTTTTTTAAAAACCACTTACCCCTCTATATTCAGAACATTTTAACCGGTTGAATTAGTACAGAAAAAGAGTTGGAGGTTAGCTTGTAAATAACTGCATTTATTAAAATATGTTATTTCTACCAACCAGTTCTCTTCCAGATTAGATTTTTTGGGTATATTTATGCCAACAGATTTTTGGACCAAGTGCAGGCATACTCTGATCCACAAAACTCTCCTATAACCCAAGTTTGATGTGTGTGTATAGGTGTGTGTATATATATATATGTGTGTGTGTGTGTGTATACCTGCATATTATAGCTCTCTCTAAGATACATAGACGTCTAACGAGGTTTTGTTATTCTGGACTGGCAGCAGTGTTTGGGGAAGGTGGAATGTGCAATAGGGACAGATGTATAGATTTCTGAAGTCATTCTTCCTCCTGTGCATGTCAACTGTGTTTGAGGGTAGTTTTAATTTACTTCTGTTCTGTTTGATGTCAGTGATACATTGAAGACTCTACCAACACAGAAGATGATGTTTCTTGGAAAATCTTTCCTCGTCCCCAGGACTGTCCTTTACTCTTTGATAATATCCCTCTCTTTTCTTGCCATCCATTTCTCTAAATGTCTTAGCCTGTTTCCTGAGGTGCTGCTGAGGGTGCTGACCTCCCACCATGGGAAGGGTAGTTACTGAGTGGACCCCCTAGTGGTAGCCACCTGCCAGAGGCATCCTGTGGTACAGAGAATGGTCTGAGGGTGAATTGGTAGAGATTGTTGATTTTTCCAGTCATTCTTTCTGGTTTTTCCTTCAATATCCTTAGTTGTGTTGATTATTTTGACAGTATTAGTTAAGTCATAAGTACTCCAAAGGTTATGGATCTTAGTAAGAAACAAACAAAAAAAAGCTAAAGATTGAGCATGAAAACCAAAGAGAATTTACCTCTGCCTTTTTTTTTTTTTTTCTTCTTTGGAACCAAGGTCCCAAGTAATTCCAAATGCCTTAGATATCAATTCAAGCTGTTCTGAGGTGGACAAAAGCTCTTTCTCTCTAAAGAGAGTAATTTCATAAATGCCTGTTCTCTTATTGAACATTGTGGATGTAGTGTTTTCACATTTCCAGGTGAAGTCTTGACATACCTATTTGGCCACACAGGTAAATTGAATGGAAAGGCCTTGACCTTGCTGTCAGTCAGCACTTAAGTGAGCAGTGGTTTAATGCAGAGCACCTGAGAGGCAATATGGGTGACTGTCAGATGCCTTTGTTTATCCTGTCCCAGGGATGGGAAACACATAATGCCAGTGTCACCATCCTTTCAAGGTAGCATTACAGTGAGCATGGCACTCCTTTCCTGTGTGCTGGGACTTGGTGTTAGAATTCACATCACATCAATCAATGCCTCCACGCATCTAATACCAGTTCATCAAAGTAAGTGCTAGTCCTGCCTTAGGCATAGGAGTGAATGAATTAGGTGAGTAGAAACTACCCAACACGGCCTTGAAAGCAGTGAACTGATTCATCACAGTTCCCTGGTTCCCAGAAATACACATTGAATGTCTGTCGTGTGTAAGACAATGCTAAGAACTGAAGATATAGACATAACTAAGCCACAGTCTCTGACCTTGAAGTGCTTATAGCCTGTGAAAATGTTAGCTCTGTCCTCTTAACCAGGTGTCTGCCCCAAAGATCCCCCCTGTTACTTGTCAGGCTCACTGGGGCCTTATGGCCTGGCAGCTTCTTCAGTCTTGGCCCAATCTGTCCATTGCTTCATGTTTTACTAACCAACCATCACAAACTTATTTTACTTCAAATCTGAGCATCTCACCTGTGTTTTATTTTTTTAGTCTGTACTTATGTTCTCATAAGTTTAAAAAGTCTTTTCTGTATTTTTGTGAAAAAATTAAGATTCCATGTGATCTACTTTATTTAAAGGTACTCCCTAAGCACCACTGCCTTTGCACCTGAGAGTCCAGCAATTTGATCCAGTGAAAAGGAGGAGCAAAGCTAGGGAAGTGAATACTGGGGGAGAGACAAGCTGACAGCAGGTGTTTATGCTATAAAATTATACCATTAAAAGTATTAATAAATGTTCATTAAGGCACGAGTCCCAGTGAAAAGTCAGTTGACTTTGCCTTTGTCACAATTATCAAAGGGTAGCTTTCTATCCCTGTGTTTCATACACTTAGAGGTATTTTTCATTTTCTTTTGTTAACACTATACAACACACCAATGAACACAAACTGACTAGTGCACTTGACATAACTGTATTTATCCATTCCTACAGGAGATAGATTAAATATAAAAGATGGTCCATTTTGAAGAGCAACAGGGTGCTGAAATGACTTGCAGGGTAGGCTGGTGCTTTCTCAGATGGATGCCATAGTTTATTAATGAGCAAAGGAAAAGGAAAATATTTGTAATTTGCATAATTATGTCATTTTTCTTAAAAAAAAAAAAAAAGTCTTAAGAACAGGGACTCTTTAGATGTCCCTACAGTGTTTTCATATCTACTAGTCATCTTAGGAAAAATGATAACCTATAGAATGAATGGTTATGTTTTGTTATGACTAATGCTTTTTTTCTTTTTGTAAAAAAGGTATTGAGTCTTCAAGTGTGGCTTCAAAATGTAATTATCGTATGATCTGTTTAGGTACACTGATGCCTATGAAACACTCGCTATAGCAGCATTCATTCTGTGTTTATAAACAACTCTAAAAGAAAATCTCTTCAAATAAAAGAATTATAAATCAGCATTTGTTGTCAGTTGGATACATGTATCTGCTGTGTACACAGGACTGTGTTGGAGCCGGGAGGAAATGGGTGAGTTGTGAGACAAGTATGAACAACTCCTGGCTAACAGGGAATGCCAGACAAACACTTGCCAAATGGTTAGGAGCTATCCTGTTGGAAGGAAGGGCCACACTGAGTGGCACAGATGACAAGAGT